GTTGCTCCCGCGCCTCGCTCAGCCAGTGAGCGGGAACCGGTCTGTATGTGGGATCCGAACCCTCGGGCGGGAGCGCCGCCGCACTTCCCAAGCGGCGCACTTATCCAGTGTGCCACCAGGCCGGCCCCTTCATTCAGTTTTTTTGAATATGCTATTTTATTTCTTTGGACAGTTGTCTGAATTTATTTTTATTTTTTTACTAAATTAAAGCACTTCTGTTTACTAAAATGATTATCTAATTTTTATTTTTCAAACTATATGTGTACATTTTATATTAACTTTTACTTTATTAAAAGACAATGCTAAAATAAGTACTTGTGTACCAAGCACTCAGATTAAGAATAAAAACATTGCCAGGAGAGTTAAAGCCCCATATTCCATTTGATGATTACATTGGTCTGAATTAATTTTTATAATTGAAGACTAACATTAAAATCAACTCATACATATATCGAAATATAACTCTGTATCCCATAAATGTGTACAATTACTACATGTCAATTTAATAATACAAAAATTAATTCATAGCAGTAGTACCTTTTTCTTGTTCCAGGTTTGTCCTTGGGGAAAATAATACTTCCTTTTCATTTTTTAAAAAATGGAATGTGCTAGGCAAAGGGGATGGGTAGTAAATTTTTTTTTTTTCCTTTTTGTCTTTTTTTAATGACCGGTAACGGGATCGCAACCCTCGGTGTCACGCCCGTACCGGGGACCGGCAACGGGATCGCAACCCTCAGTGTTGCGTCCGCACCACGCTCAGCCAGTGAGCAGGAACCGGTCTCCACATGGGATCCGAACCCTCGGCGGGAGCGGCGCCATGCTCCCAAGCGGCACACTCTCCAGTGCGCCACCGGGCCGGTCCAGTAAATTTTTTAAATATTCAAAAATCCGAAGAGTCCACTAAATTTGTATGGCCTTTTAATGTTGTAAATCCATATTAAAGTATCTTGGGTATGTATTTTAGAAATTGTTTTCTATGGCCCCCCTAAAGAATAAACAAACTATAGGCATTCTAGTCAAATCATCTTTTGATTTCCCTACCTCAGCAGAGCCTTCTAAGTCCCAGACACGTAAACCCAAGTGTGGCAAAGGAACTCATTGCTCTCGAAATGCATACATGTTGGTTTATAGACTGCAAACTCAAGAAAAGCCCAACACGACTGTTCAAGTTCCAGGTAAACAGTTTTCCAGGATTGTATCAGGGAAATGTTTTAGAAGCCATACTCAAAGGTTAATGACAAGCAACAACAGGTTGCTTTTTATTTATTATGATAGGCTGATTCCATATGGTAAACATTGGTGAAAGTAAATATTAATCATAAATTTGCTTTGAAGTAGTTATTTATTTTTTGAAATAAGGGAGCCTTGGACAGAACTTTGTCACTGAACCTTCCTAAAGAAAAGCAAAAGCAATGAAAAAAAAAAGTCACAAAGGTAATCAAGACATGTATTTAAAGAGCAATTTGATTTTATTTTACTCAGTTTATAGAGCACTTGTGAGTTTTAACCAGCTGCTTATAGATTTTCTAGATTAAAAAAATGGCCTGAAGGCAGTCTTTGTCTTTTACCTAATACTGTTCTGGACTCTGTGGCATCATTTGTTTTGAAGTGGTGTTTCTGACCCACTTGATGTTTCTGGGTGGCTACTGATGTCATGGAGAGCTAGGTGGTGGGAATCACTTAGTGTTACTCCAGTGTCTGTCTTCAGTTTTACTTCTGCCTTCAGGTTGGAGGTCTCTAGCAGAAGGGGAGACCATAATAGGAAATGCCACCGGTCTTAGCCATTTTGATATAATTGAGAGATCAGCATGGTTCTCTGTCTTTGAAGACTAGAATAAAAAAGTTGTTTTATGTCTTTCTCTTTTAAATAGCCTTTCTTCAAGAGCTGGTAGATCGGGATAATTCCAAATTTGAGGAATGGTGTATTGAAATGGCTGAGATGCGTAAGCAAAGTGTGGATAAAGGAAAAGCAAAACACGAAGAGGTTAAGGAGCTGTACCAAAGGTTACCTGCTGGAGCTGGTCTGTAAGATATTCTGGGACAGCACTGTTGCCATTAAGTGCCTTGTTTTTTATGTTCACAAATGTATATGAAGAAACTTTTTCTCACCCTTTATAACCCATTAAAGCCACACTCTAAAATTACTGTGTAAACAAGCAAAACTTGATATGTAGCATTCCATATAATTTATGATCATGTACTTTTAAAAATGGGAAGCTGTTAATACACTATAAGATTAGGTCAGCACTCTGCATACATGACTCTTGTAGATGTTTCTATTTTGTGAGATATTAAATTGTTTCTAAAGAAAAAACTGATTGGATTACTATGGAAGCAGTTTGCTTATTCTATTTCTTTGCATACTTTGTGCTCAACAGTATTAACAGGCATTCTTTTATATGAGTACTTTTTTGATACTATTAGATTTATTTGAAATTTAATACCAAATATTATTATGCTGAGTAGAAATACTTTCTGCTGACCCCTGATTTCTTAGAATTATCCCGAATAGCTCAGCTCATCTCTTTCCTGTCTGTTTATTCAAGTTTACCTAGAGTCTCAAAAAAGAAACCCACTCTTTTAAGGCTTATATGCCATTTGCGTAATAAGTTATTTTTGTCATTTCTAAACATGAATTCCCCAAACTTAACTCCTGCTTAGAGAAGAAAGGCAATTTAACCCTAACTTTAGAAAATAAATACTCAAGCATAATTGTACTGGTGGTTTTGTCTTTTTGATATCTTAATTTTCCATTACTGGTGTAACTAAACAAAAAATGAATGTAAGGGTCGGCCCGTGGCTCACTTGGGAGAGTGTGGTGTTGATAACGCCAAGGCCACGGGTTCGGATCCCTATATAGGGATGGCCGGTTCACTCACTTGGGAGAGTGTGGTGCTGACAACACCAAGTCAGGGGTTAAGATCCCCTTACCGGTCATCTTTAAAAAAAAAAAAAAAAAAGTGTGTGTGTGTGTGTGTGTGTGTGTGTGTGTGTGTGTGTGTGTGTGTGTGTACGTGTACGTGTGTATACACATGGTTAAATCTGTAAGAATAGCTTTTATAAGTTATTTTAAAACTGCATCTTAATTTGACTCTGACCCTTCTTTGCAACCTGTTACTTTAACTCTGAGGGTTGGGATTATTGTAAAGAATTAGACTGACCTTGGCTTAACTGGAAATGATTTGGAAGTGAATCCATGATTCAGATCTCTAAATTAATAGGTCTTTGTTTAAAGGAGTTGGGACCTAGAAATCTATTTTCTGAACTTTATTCACAGTTTCTGTATTCACTAGATAAGAAAAAGGTACTTACTGTGTCTAAAGTAAAATGCTATTTTGAATTACCCTTTAAAACTATTAGTCCATAGATGTTAATGTCAGGTTAACATTGTGTATAAGAATCTACACTTAATGTTCTTAGAATATTTCTCCATGTTATCTGTGCTTTTACCAATTATGAGCTTTATACTTTTTTTCCCATTTGCAGTAAACTTAACTCAAAGTTAATGACCATGATTTTGAGCTGCCAATTGGAAGTCTTTTGTTATGTATTTCTAAATCTTCTCTCTGTGAACATATTTAAAGGAAGGTTGCTTATCCTAAAATCTAATCCTCACTGGGAACAAGAACTCTTTGGACCCATTTTATTAAATTGAAATGTGTTTAAATTATCTCTAGGTAAAGTATTTCAATGGGAGGGGGGGTGGCTGCTGGCCAGAACCATGGACCTTGGTGTTAACCAACTGAGCTAACTGGCCAGCCTTTCCTTCACATTTTCTTTCCTTCCTTCCTTCCTTCCTTCCTTCTTTCTTTCTTTCTTTCTTTCTTTCTTTCTTTCTTTCTTTCCTCCCTTCCCTTCCTTCCTCTTTCTTTTCTTCCCTTTCTTTCTTCTTTCTTTCTTTCTTTTCTTTTCTTTTTTGGCAGCTGACTGGTACAGGAATCCAAACCCTTGATCTTGGTGTTATAACACCATGCTCTAACCAACTGAACTGACCGGCCAGCCCTGTTTCAAATATTTTTGATGCCATGAATGTTCTAGTCTTTATAACTTTACAAAAGAAAATGAGTTGTGTGTAAAATCCAGGCTTTTTTTGAATATTAGAAATAACTTTGCACCAAAATTTACATTTTCCTTTGGTAAATATTTTAAGTTACTTTCCTGGTTCATCAAATGCTGAGATTTCATACAGTCCGATTATCTCCAAGTTCATAATGCAGTAGAGTTTTCACTCCCATTTGGTAGTTGATTATCCATGCCTTTGGAAAGCAATGCTTAGGTAGTGTACTGAATCACAAATATTAGGGAACATCTTTGAGAGCCTGCCAGGAGTCTTTTTCTAGTACAGAAAGATCTGTAGTGTAAAATCTTTGCCCCAAGCAGAATCTGCCTTAACTGTGAGATTTGTGCTCAACCCCTATTCTCAGGGAAGCTCTTGGCAGAGATCGATGCAACTCTTTATGGTAATAGAGATTGATATGGAAAGAAAGAAAGACTTCTGTGACCATAGTCACTCTCCCATGGATCCCCCAGCACACCAAAATGAAATCTGGAAAACTGGCTGAGTTAATAATGAGTACGGTATTACATCAGAATTATGGGTCCAGTCTCTGCTCTCTTCCTTCCTCTTTTTACTATAAAGCCATATGTGATTTTTCTAATAAATCGAAACAAGCTTCATTCAGAAGTTTTTTGTGGGACTCTAATAGGGGATTGGAAAATGTTGTCTTGAACTAACTGCCTTTAAGTTACATTATTGCTAGATGGGTCAAGGTTACAGTCACCCTGGCCCTTGAATTTCAGCAGACACACCCTGGCAAGGAGTGCTTTGTGCATTTTAGTTTTCCTAGATTCCATTCTTTCAGGTTTTTTGTTTTTGTTTTGATGCTGGCCAGTAAGGGGTCTGAACCTGAACCCTTGACCTTGGTGTTATCAGCACCATGCTCTGCCAAATGTGCTAACAGGCCAGCCCTATTCAGTTAGCATTAGCAGGTATTGACCTGTACTCACCCCTCCCTGGTGCTGGGGAACGTAGAACACCTAGTGAATTATTCTTGGATTTTACTCCATATCACAATCCTGTTTTCCCTTTTTGATAACCTTCAGATTACTGAAGATTTTAATCTATATACTTGAGAGAAGATTAGATATGCTAAGACTTTTATTTTACTCTGGGATTGGGATCATTTATCTCTGCATTCATCCCTGGCAGATTAAATTTGATAAATGGCAAATAAAATTGGGAGGTATTTTGAATGTAAATAACCATACCACCACTATGTTACCTATACTGCATCTTAAGGTCTCCTCTTTTTTATATTATGTGAATGTATAATTAACTTTTCTATATCTCTTTTCTTCCGAAAAGCTCAAAATACTTCATATATTTTGTCTTTTACACTCAACAACATCCCTATGAGGTAGGTAGAAGGCAGGTATTATTACCTTCATTTTACAAATAAAAGACCTGAGGCATAGAGAGTTTAAGTGACTTGCTGAAGTTCAGTTTCTCGGTGGCAGAACTTGGATTAGACCTTGGTCTCAGCCTGCAGTCCTGTGCTCTTCCTCGGCAGCTGCGTTAGAGCTGACCAGTCAGAAGGCTCTCAGTTGATGATGTACAGTTTTAGCAAATAAGGGATCCAGTAGTTCCAAATTGAAACGTTTTATACTAAAATTAAAATGGAAGTTAGTTTTCTAGATGTGTAACTCTCAGGGGAGTGTAAAATTGGTCAAAATGGGCTTTGCGTTGAAGTGTCTATCCCTCGGATTTCATCAGAAGTAGTATATAATACAAATATATAAATTCAACCTCTGTATGTTTTCTTCTATGTTTTATGCTGGGACTCACTGGAGATCTTTGTAAGTAATCAAAGTTGGCCCTTTATCTTTAATTTTGGCTTTTAGAGAACTCTAGGACTCCCTTTCCCCAAATTAAAACTCATTTTGAGGTATTTGGTTTGTCTTTTAATTTTTGCCACTTCAAATTTGATAATTCAATTCTATTATACTTCATCCTGGAACTGGTTTAAAATAGGTTACTTTCTTGAAATAAATAATAACGTAATGAATAGATCGTGACATGGATTTGGGTGGGGGAAGTAAATACCGTTTCTTAATTGACATTAGTATCATCTTCAGCGGTTGAAATGAGCTTGTGAAGTGTGGTAATAGCCAACAAGATTAATTTCTAACTTAGAGCCCAGTCTGGTTTCTCATTTTAATTTTCCGATGTATATCACGTATTTGTGAAAAGTGTTGATGAAAATAATTTATGAAATAAACATAGGAGATGAGGTTTTATGATTGACAAGCCAGTGTAGAACATGACTTGTAGACAGTAAGCACAGGTGTCCTGATCAAAGCTGTGCTGTGCTATCAAGCAAGACACTTCTCTCTGTGGATGCCTTTTGTAGAATGTGGTTAATAATACCAGCCGATCTCATAGGGCACACTGTGCAGACTTGTTATCAGGCCCAGCTCCTTGAACTCAGGGGAGTGGTAGTTAATTGGAGGTTTGTGTCATATTCATCAAATATCTTTCTGAACAATGATGATTCTGGTTCTGCTAACTTTGGACAGAGTTTGTATTGACTTTTGAGGAAAATAAATATATTGCTTAATCAAAAAACTGTAAAAATACATAGGTTCTTTCCATTGCTTTCTTCCTCAGAGCCCTATGAGTTTGTCTCTCTTGAATGGCTGCAAAAGTGGTTGGATGAATCAACACCTACCAAGCCTATTGATAACCATGCTTGCTTGTGTTCCCACGACAAGCTCCATCCAGATAAAATATCGATTATGAAGAGAATATCTGAATATGCGGCTGACATTTTCTACAGTAGATATGGAGGAGGTCCAAGACTAACTGGTAATTTGAGATATTTTCTTTTCTGCTTAAAAAGAGTATTGCAGTAAGTCTTATGGTCTTTATGAGTGGAGGTTTATGATGATTTGACCCAAACTGTGCCAGACTGAATGTTTCCTACACTTTGCAAAATGGATTTGCTAAATTAGAAGCTGAACAACTGATGCTATTCATGGAGGGTTGTTTTTTCCTTCCTCTCAAAGCAGATAAAATAGGGCCCTTAGAGTTTGTTAGTTTACATAATATTCTTCAGAGTACATGTATAAACCCTTGTTTGGTTGATTGCAAATCGTGTGCCTCCATGGTATGGGGACTTCTAACAGTATGAGATCTGTAGATTTGTAATTTAGTTTATGAATGGAAGCTGCTTGATTCTATCTTGAATATAGACCTATATATGACCACATAGTATCCATAGTCTATTTGATTCTGGCTGTTCCCCCCCCTCCCCCTTTTTTCCAGCTGGTATGTTCAGGGATCCAAACCCTTGGCCTTAATGTTATCAGCTCCATGCTTTAACCAGTAGAGCTAACCGGCCAGCCTCACTTTTATTTTTAATTAGCAACACAGGATCTTCCCCAGTCTATAGATGAGGCTAAATAAAATTGCATGACACCTTCCTCCCCCTTTCTCGAAATTAAATGCTATTTTCTGATTGTGTACAACTTAACTGCATAAAAACTTGCATTTAACTACATGCGTCAAGTCTTCTCTTGTACACATCTGGAGTTTTGCTTTCTAAATTTCTGCTTTTGATTCACAATTAATAAGCCATGCAATGGGAAGGTCATTCAAAGAATCACATTTCATATGATTCCTAGAATTTCTGTGTGTTTTAAATTGGGTCCTTCATTTTTCTTTTCCTTTTAACGTTCTGTGCTTTGAAGATGTCTTCCACATGAAGATCATTATGTGTATAGCTGTGAGATATGTTGACTTCCTCCCCAACATAGAACCTCAGTTATTTATTATCGTATATAATTTGCATCTAAACTTTGTAACATATTGTACCTTGTGGTGTACATAGTTCTAGCATATTATAACATTTTGTCTCTCATTGTTCTTTATGCAGATAACTTGCTTTTTTTAAATCTATATCTCCAAAATAATCTAGGGTATATACCAATTTGCTATATTGTCAAAATTTGTTACTTTGTTTTCGAATTCGTCTGTGTTTTATGAAGTACTGAAAACCTTTTCCTAACAAGAAGTCTGTGTGTGAATAAACTATATTTCTTTTCATTCTTTCTTGCCTCTAGTGAAAGCGCTGTGTAAGGAATGTGTAGTAGAACGTTGTCGTGTGTTGCGTCTGAAGAACCAGCTAAATGAAGATTATAAAACTGTTAATAATCTGCTAAAAGCAACAGTAAAGGGGTATGTTGTACAGTGCGCATTATTTATGATAAGCTAAAAAAATTTCAAGAGGTAATAACCAAGCAGCTTCATATTTATTAAAAATAGGGAGTTGGGATTTTTAGAACAAGGGCAATGGAAGTGGATTGCAGGGTCAGATCAAAAGTAAATTTTGCAACGATTGCTCCTGTGGCAAAGATAAAGCTGAGTAGGACAGCCTTTGCAACTATTCCATCCATTAGAGAGGAAGAAGCAGAAATGTGGATCTGAGGCCTGACCAAACTAAGGCAGAGTGTTAGCCTGTTCTCTGGCACGGCCTTGTGTAAAGCTTATGTTATAAGAAAAAACATCCCAGTAGGCTGGGGGTGACCCCCTTAGTGGGTCTGAAGTAAGGGTGTTAGCAAATAGCAAATGGTACCAGTGGAGTGTCCTTATCAGAAATGTCCAAGGTACTTGGAGTATGTTGAACACCACTCCGTGGAGTACCTCTGGACTCAGGAATGAATGGAATCAGACAGTTAATGGATGGGATTAATTATGTCTGGGTTTAATTTAAGTTTTTTATTTCCCAAACAAATATTAATCTAGTTTACTGTTTTGTGTCTTTCCACAAACAGCCTACTGAGTACCCTAAATGTGTATTGGTATAGACGTGGATGTGCAAATATATATATATCATTGTCACATATACTTAAAGACACAGTTGTATGTAATTGTGAATAATAATCAAATGAGAGAAACTGGCCATTTAATTGGTGTGATTGGCATGAATGTAATTGGGGTAGGAGAAGCAGGATGAAATTTAGGGTAGAAATAAATATTTGATATCTGCTATTTAATAGTGAGGAGTGAAAAATTGGCCAAAATGATAGTGTGTTTAAAAAAAAAAACAGCACAACAGCTGGTTCTGAATATTTGTAATTCACTTTAGTTGTGGCCTTTACAAGGAAAAAAGGGAGGAAAACATTAGGAAACTTTATTTATATAACATTGGCATGAATGTAATTGGGGTAGGAGAAGCAGGATGAAATTTAGGGTAGAAATAAATATTAGATATCTGCTATTTAATAGTGAGGAGTGAAAAATTGGCCAAAATGATAGTGTGTTTAAAAAAAAAAAAACAGCACAACAGCTGGTTCTGAATATTTGTAATTCACTTTAGTTGTGGCCTTTACAAGGAAAAAAAGGGAGGAAAACATTAGGAAACTTTATTTATATAATGTAGCATTCTCTTTGTTCCACAGCAATGATGGATTTTGGGTGGGGAAATCCTCCTTGCGGAGCTGGCGCCAGCTAGCTCTTGAACAATTAGATGAGCAAGATGGCGATGCAGACCAGAGCAATGGAAAAATGAATGGCAACACCTTAAATAAAGGTAATGTAGATTGTTTTGAAATTATAAGCATTCATTTTTAGTAAAATTGGTTTAATACCCATCCATATAATATTATTTTATTTTATTTTGTAGTAAAAGCAACAAGTTACCATGTATTTATTAATCATCTGTTATTTTTAAGACATTTAATTCCAGTTTGGATGCAGAAATGTAAGAAATTTTATCTACCACCTACATGTAATTTTAAAGACAACTTTGTTGAACCACAAGCTCTCAAAAATAGCACAGGGCAAATAAAAGATTTTCAAACTATTAAAATTCAGTAGGGACTAAGCAACTCACATGTGGAATTCTCCTTTATGATCTATCATACTTTGGGCTCAAGCTCTCTCTAGTTAATCACATGCAAAATTAATACTAATTTTGCTTCAGGCTAAAAGTTTTAAGAAAGGTAAGACAGATGCAAATTGCATAGTATGCCCGGTGTATTCTGGTGTTAGATAATCTACCATATTTAGAGTTTGCCTTCATCAGGTAAGTGAGCTTGTGCTTCTGCATTTTTTATCAAGGAGAGAAGAGAGGGCTTTTGTATAGCCTTTTGTTTATAAATTCTTCTGAGTTATCTGAAGCTGTGCTTTCAAATAAGAAATTATCTTATTAAAAATCAACCACTAAAGTTAATTTTATAATCAGTGCTTTATATCAAGGGAAATTAAGGCACTAAGATTATTTTTAGATTTAAAATGGAGACTAGTGGTTTGATCAGATTTACTAATTCAGAAGTTTGTTACTTACATGCAGTGATCCATAGTTAGTGATCAGTGATCCATAAGCAATTATTTCACTTAATTTTCTTATTTCCTGTTTATTAGAATTTACCTACACACACACACACACACACACACACACACACGGGCATTCCGGAAAGTTCGTGGAAAAATAGAATTGAAGGGCTGGCCTGTGGCTCACTTGGGAGAATGTGGTGCTGATAACACCAAGGCCACGGGTTCAGATCTCTACATAGGGATGCCAGTTAGCTCCCTGGGTGAGCGTGGAGCTGATGACACCAAGTCAAGGGTTAAGATCCCCTTACCGGTCCTCTTTAAAAAAAAAGAGAGAGAGAGAGAGAGAAATAGAATTGAAACATAGTGTGAATCTTTCCACAAACTTTTTTTTTTTTTCCTTTTTGTCTTTTTTCGTGTCCGGCAACGGATCGCAACCCTCAGTGTTGAGCCCGTACCGGACCGGGACCGGCAACGGGATCGCAACCCTCGGTGTTGCCCCCACACCTCGCTCAGCCAGTGAGCGGGAACCGGTCTGTATGTGGGATCCGAACCCTCAGCGGGAGCGTCACCGTACTCCCAAGCGGCGCACTGTAGCAGTGCGCCACCGGGCCGGCCCTCCACAAACTTTTTGAAGCACCCTCATATATCTATTTTTTATTGCCATTTTAATATTCTTAATCTTTTTATTGAAGTATTCTGTATTTTCTGCATTCAAGCATTTTATATCATTTGCACCTTACTTTTTGAGAAAATAAAAAACACCAAAGCTATTAGCTTTTCAAGTTCCTTGAGCTGTAGTTTTTAACATTTTCAAATTTGAACTGGTTTTTTTTTTTTGACTAAAATGTTTTGTTGCATTCTATAATTCATGAACTTAACATTAATTTGAAATTTATTATCCTGTCATTTGAAAATCCATACTATAATTATAGTGGTATCATGTGACCTAGTGTGTTAAGTATTTATTATTTGCTACTCTTTCGAGCCTCTTTATGTACCAGTGTTCCTTCATTTTAAGTAAAGTTGGATGCTGTACTGGAAAGTGCCTTGATGTTGGTTGGCCTAGCTTAAAAATATTTCTCATTGTTTTCAGAATTTGCTTCTCTTCTTCTCCCATTAAAAATTTTAAAAGCTTGAAGTAGCACAAATGTAATAAAGTAGAACTTCAAATCCCTCCCACCAGATATAATCACTGTAAATAGCAGTTTTCTATAATGGAGCTCATATAGGCACAGTTGTGCATCTCTTCCTATCAAAATACACAGCTCTTTTTATTCAGTGGCACAATGAAATGCCACTAAATTTACATATATCTAAGTATATTTATTTATATATTATATATTTATTTAACCAATTATATTTCAAAATTTAAAATTAGTATATAAGCACAGATGCAGGGCGCATCCTTGTGTGTGTCCTTGTATCTACGTATTTGTGTAATTTTCAGATTATTTCTGAGAAATAAATTCCTAGAAATTGATGGGTCAGAGAATTATACACATTTATAATTGCTACATATTGGTACCTATTGGTAAATTTCCACCAGAAAGCATATTAGGGGGCTTGTTTTTGCATGTTCTTCTCAACAGAAACAGTACATCAGTCACATCAATTTTTATCAGTCTGATATATGAAAATGACTAGCAATGTTGAGGCTTATGTTTTTCAAAATTATTTTTGGGGTTGACCATCTTCTCATATCTGAGAAGTTATTTGTGTATGTGACCAAGACAGAGGGGAGACAGAATTATCTGGTCATGTCCTTCCTTTGCCCGTTTTTCTACCTGAGTTTTCAGAAGATCAGTACATATTCTTTATATACATTAAGTATATTGTAAATGTGTTAGGTACTTAACATGAAAGATGCATGGATAACTCTTCTAATCTCCTGATGCTTAAGATTTTTATTTGATCATATTTCTAGTACATACAACTACAAATTGACAGTGACACAGTGTAGATAAGTAGGAAAAGCAGATATTGGAAGAGAAATATTAACAGGAAAAAGCAAAGTTCTTATTATATGTGTTTGACATTGAAGGTCAGTCCTCACTTCATTCACCTTTAAAGCTTTCTGTTCAACTGCTAAGAGTAGGTAGATGAAAATTACATGACATGTAGATGATTAACTTAGTTTATGACACAGTATTTTGAATACCTTGACTAGAATTAATAGAAGGATATATAAATTATTTGTCAAATTGAAAAAAGGCACATCTTGCATAACCTAAATCTTTAAAAAGTTAACCATCATTGAGATTTTTTTCTCCTTTTAAGGGAAAGAAGTATAACACTTCTTAGCAGAACTGTGTAGGAATCACTTGGGTCTAATTTTCAGAATGTTTTAAGGTTTTCTTTGTTCAAAATTGTGCACAGTAGTATATCTGCTGCTTTGAACTTTAAATGCAACAACCAGAGTGGTTATTATCTGTATTTCTTTTGATTAGATGAATCAAAGGAAGAAAGAAAAGAAGAGGAGGAGGAATTAAATTTTAATGAAGACATTCTGTGTCCACACGGTAAGTGAGAAGCATGAATCTGTTGTTAACTTGGCTTTAGTATATCATAAGTATTGTCTTAAAACATTTTCTCTTAGGTACTAGGCCCTAAAGTGGCAGCCATTGTTGAGTAACTACTTTCTAAACTGTACTTTGATTAATGTTTCTGTTCTTTTACCCTTTTTAACTGTTAACTTCTACTCCCTGGCCTTTGCCTCTCACGTCATATCTTCTCACTTTGCAGGATATTAAATAAATAAATAAATAAATAAATAAATAAATAAATAAATAAATAAATAAATAAATAAATAAATAAATAAATAAATAAATAAATAAATAAATAAATAAATAAATAAATAAATAAATAAATAAATAAATAAATAAATAAATAAATAAATAAATAAATAAATAAATAAATAAATAAATAAATAAATAAATAAATAAATAAATAAATAAATAAATAAATAAATAAATAAATAAATAAATAAATAAATAAATAAATAAAGATTCTCCCACATTTAGAGGAAATCATTGGAAAAGAAAATTTTTCTCCCTTATATTGAAGGACTTTTGATTTTTTTTTCTTTTTTCGGTGGCTGGCCAGTATAGGGGATTGAACCCTGGACCTTGGTGTTATCAGCACCACACTCTAACCAACTGGCTAGCCCCAAGGGCTTTTGAATTTGAAGGGAAGAATCTCAGTTGTTTCCTGTGACTACTTTATCCATTTGAACACTTTGAGAATAGCATTTTTATATTTCTTATTATTGTTAGTGCTATTTATGTTTTAGTGTCTTAGACATTTATTGACTAGCAGCTGTGTCCTATGTGTTAGGTCCTCTTAACAAACTTAAGTCCCCTTCCCTGCCTTTTAAAACCTATTTTGAGAAAATTCGCACCCAGAGAAGTTGAGATGTCAGTGTTTTATACTGTGTTAATCCACGTTTGTGCATTTCTTGTTATGTGGTAACATATTGATAATACTCAGAATTCCTGTTGTTCCTAATAAATTTCTAATTTCAGTTCTAATTTCATTGGTTCACTGTGAACCAGTGGATGATGTCTCACATCTCACACTTAACCCTTATGTATACTAGCACTTTTATATCAAGGGCCCTTGATGACACTAATGATAATAGTTGTCACTGGAGTAGTATTTGCATTCTGGATTATCTCACTGCACCTCAGCTTCCTAGATGAGGGGTATTCTCATTTACAGACCGCAAGAGTAGGGGAGCTCATCCTGGAGTGTGGATTGGGGTCTCTGTGGGTTCCAAGCTCATCTTTTCTTCCCCACTGCATCACCCTGACCCTCGTTTGTATTCCTTATGCTAGTAGTGCACAGTAGGAGCACAAATGTAAAGAAGGTGTGGCCTCTTAAGTAGTGGGCAGCATGAGTAAATAAGTAAGGGAAAGAAAGGTGGAGTGAACAGCCAAAAGGGGGTTAATTTTTTAGTGATGCTTTCCTATCAACTGATTTTATGTTCATAGCATAGATGTGGGCGTATGATAAGCACATCCATTTTGAGAGTTGAGGCATGCCTGGCAAAATGTTAAGTTTCATGCTTGGTGCTGCCCGTCTGGTTGAAACAGTGCCAGAACTTGGTTTGTCGTTGAACTCCTTAGCTCACTGAGTTTTGCTCCACCTTCCCTCCTATCTTTTTGTTTTGTTTTGTTTTGTTTTGGCAGCTGGCTGGTAAGGGGATCTGAACCCTTGACCATGGTGTTATCAGCACCTACTCTAACCACCTGAGCTAACTGGCCAGCTCTTCTTCCCAACCAATTTATGTCATTTCTGTATTGACAGTTTTGACGAGAAAGCATGGCAAAGCTGAATATAATTTCAGGATGCATGCTGCACACCTCACCCTATCAGAAAGTGTGTAACTAACAGGAGCTGGTTTTTAGAACTTCAGCTTGATCTGTATCTCAGTGGCATTTTGAAGCCATACTTGTAATCTGATATTTATAAAGGTTAGTTTTCTTCTTTTGTTTCTGTGTACTGTGTGCCCAGGGTGAGGTTTTTCATGTGTAGGATATCAAACCTTGGAAATTCACTTTACTCATTAAGCTTCTACTAAAACTTCGTTAGGGAGAATTGTTGATGATGTTGGTAGTTGTAGTAATAGTAGGGGTAGTAGTAAGATGATAGTGGACAGTTATTGAATGCTTACCATGTGCCTGGTAGTTTTCTAAGTGTATAGATGTTAACTTGTTTAATCTGTACAACAACACTGTGAAGTCAATATTGTTATCACATCCCTTGTACTGATGAATAAGTAAACTGAGCACATAGAGGTGAGAATCATTTGCCTAAGGTCATCACACTTGATTGGTAGTTTTGCCTGGGTATATAATTATCGGAAACTCTTTTTCTTTGAAAATTTGAAGGACCTGCCCTAGCGTTCAGTGTACCACTCAGAAGTCCAGAGCCATTCTTTGTAGGTAATTTTTTTTCCTTCCATTTCTGGAAACTCATTGGATCTCTGTCCCCAGTGTTGTACAATTTCACAGTGATCTGCCTTGGTGTAGACACTGTTTTTTTATTGTGCTAGCACTCTGTGGAGGTCGAGTGTGTCTTGGAGGGGCTTGGTGACTGCAGGCTTCACTATTAGGTGCCCTGGCTGGCCTCTTTCACTGGGGAATTCCCAATGTTGGTTCCCGCTCTTGGACTGCTCATATTTCTCCATAAGCGTCTTCCATTCTCCTACCTAGAAAATGCAGACCTGCCATCACTGTTCTGGGGTTGTAGAGAGAAGGGGGCTTGGGAGTCTCTGCATTCAGTGCAGAAATGTTTACTCATTCCTATCTCAGCTTGTTACCTCATTTGTCTCTGGGTCCCCTGGTGCAGAGGCCTTAGGTTTTTACTGTCAGAGAATAAACTTGTAGTTTTTTGTGGCCAGAGGGAATAGTTATCTGTAAGATGTAGAGAAGGGGACTGAGAATCTAAATAGACTTTTAGTCCTTTTTTTGTTTGTTTTGTTTTGTTAACCCCACCTTCACTTCCACATATCCCAAATTCCTGGTTCTATGGGGGCAGTTCTGCAGGGTAGTAAATCTGATTCCTTTTTGACTTTTGCCAACTTAGAATTAATTTTCTTGTGTGTCTTATCTGTCGTCTTTTAAGCTTCTAAAACTTTTGTTACTGTCATTCCGTCTGTTCTTTTTATTCATTATTATGGTTTTATATCTTTTTAAAAAATCTCTTTATTGTGGTCTAATGATGTTTTAGGAGACACCAAAAGTAAATACAGTTTTAACTTTTTTATTTTTGGTGGCTGGCTGGTACAGGGATTGAACTCTGGACCTTGGTGTTATCAGCACCATGCTCTAACCAACTGAGCTAACCAGTTGGCCCTTAAATGCAGTTTTAAAACATCATTTTTATCTGGAAATACTTGTTTTGCATTTTTATATTCTTATAACAAAATTCATATGTATTTTTTTTTTTTTAATTGACTGGTAAGGGGATCGCAACCCTCAGCACAGTGTTGTCTGCACCACGCTCAGCCAGTGAGCTCACCGGCCATCCCTATATAGGATCTGAACCCGCAACTTCGGCGCTGCTAGCACCGCACTCTCCCGAGTGAGCCATGGGGCTGGCCCAAAATCCCTATGTATTTCTAAAGCCTTTATATGTACTTAATATATCACAAATTTTGTGTGAATTCATTATTAGATTGTATTTCATTAGAAGATTTACTACTGCCATAAAGTTCATTATATTGTAGAAATAATATATTCATCAAGCTTTCTTTACATTTTATATTCCTTTGAATAAATAACCTCCCTATAACATACCTTGTTAATGACACCTAGTTTGCATAGAGGTTGGGCAGTTTTTGTTTTGTTTTTTAAGTTCTTTTTTGGGTGTTCTATGGCCCCGATTATTATAATTTGAACTGGATTTTAGTGCTGATGGGGTCCGTTTATCCAGAATCTAAATTCATCGTTAACTACGTTCCTATTTTTACCAGAAGAATCTTTGGGAATCAGATTATCCAGTTATGTTTGGTGAATCTCTCATGACTGATTTGATCTTGTACTGTAAGATACTGCTCACAGGATGAAGTCGATTGCCTTTCTGTCTTCAAATTTGAGAAATAACATTATTTATTTCAGGATACAAAAATTCTTAGCATAACTTCGTATAGCATACATTATACGAAGTTATACGAGTGCGCCTCTTGGGAGCGTGGCAGCACTCCCACCGAGGGTTCGGATCCCATGTGGAGACCGGTTCCCGCTCACTGGCTGAGCACGGGTGCAGGTGCAACACCGAGGGTTGCGATCCTGTTGCCGGTCCCCGGTATGGGCGCAACACCGAGGGTTGCGATCCCGTTACCGGTCAGTAAAAAAGACAAAAAGGAAAAGAAAAATTTTTTTCTTCTGACTTCAGAAATAATTTGGGTTGTTCTTTTTTAATCATTTGAGTAATACACATCCAACATAAAAGCCAGTCACTACCTAAAGGTACCCCCACATTAGAATGAGACAGTGCATCCATAGTGTCTGAAATCCTCTGCAAACATATATATTAAAGTGTGTGTGTCTGTATTATTATTTTCTTCATTCTCTGCCCTTTGCTTAACCAGATAGAGTTATATACCACATGCATACAAAGAAAGAATCCTTTTAAAAAAATTTTCATTGAATCATAATTGATTATAAATATTTTGAGGGTTCAATGTTGACATGTTGATCAAATCAGTATTACTAGTATATATATTGTTATAAATCGTACTTAATCTTTATGCCCCTTTGTCCAATCTCTCTCTATCCCCCTCTTCTTTCCCCCTCCCACCTCTGATAACCCTCAATTCCTTCTCTCCTTCTGAAAGAGTGATGGTTAACCTCTGTTGAATTGTTGCCTCGATGGTCTGTCCAATGCTGAGAGGTGTGCTCAGGTCCCCCAATATTATCGTTGAGCAGATGCTCCTTCTGTTAGTCTGGAATGGGCTTTGTAGAGAGGGACATCCTCTTCTTTTCTTTGGTCTCTGCTGGTGACTCTCCTTGTGTCAATGCACTCCAGTGGCTGGTGGACCATCTGCATGGTGGTTATGGCGTCTAGCTGCTTTCGTGGCAGCCGTGGTTATCGTGATGGCTATGGTGGGCCACTCACATGGAGGTAATATTTTTGGCATGCTCCTTGGTGCTGGTAGTGTGCCTGGTTGTGTGGGGGAGTCCAGTCCCTGGCTCCATGCCTCAGGACCCAGGGTAGGCCCCGAGGTGCTGGTGGTCTGCCTGGTTGTAGAAGAGGGGTCTAGTCCCTGGCTCCAAAAGAATCCTTTTTTTTAAAAAAAAAAAAAGGAAACCACTTAAAAATTATAATTGCCTTAGAGTTCTTTCTAAATCAGGTCATTGAGATCTACGTTAATCTTTTTTATGGCTATATTGTATTTTACCATAAGGATGCACTAAATTAGGGTTTGATAATCCAATTGACCTTTTCCTTTTTTAAAAAAATAAATTTCCTGATTGTGTCTAATGATAGGCATGTTGGAGTAAGTTTTCATAGCCTCAGAGGAAATGTAAATTAATAGCCTACTCAGAAAGTGAATTTTCACATTGTGACCTTATTTCTGTGTGATAAGTTTATTAAAGCAAAATAATCTTTTCTTGGGATTATTCAAAACTCAGAAAGAGGTGAGGGGTAGAAGTTAAGAAGATACGTGAAAGGACTTTACAAAGTCATGGAAAGTCTATGGCTGTACCAGTCTGAACATGCCCAATCTCATCTGATCTCAGAAAAAGTCACGGAAAAATGGAATTAAAAGATAAAAAATATAGGGCCGGCCCGGTGGTGCACTGGAGAGTGCGCTGCTTGGGAGTGCGGTGGCGCTCCCGCCGAGGGTTCAGATCCCATGTGGAGACCGGTTCCCGCTCACTGGCTGATTTCTGAACATAACCTCCATTAAGTTGAAGATACTTTTATAAGCAGTGATATCAGCCATTTAGTCCATCCGTAAGGAACTAAGGGGCCCTGGAAATTTAACGATGTCAATGCAGTCTTTTTTATATTATTAATAGCAGGGAAATGGTTTCCCTTTAAAGATTTCTTAAGATTGGGAGACAAAAAGAAGTCAGAAGGAGCCAAATCAGGACCGTGAAGTGGACGCCTAATGATTTCCCATCCAAACTCTCACAAAATTGCCTTTGTTTGATGAGAGGAATGAGCAGGAACATTGTCATGGTGGTGAAGGACTCTCTGGTGAAGCTTTCCCAGGTGTTTTTCTGCTAAAGCTTTGGCTAACTTTCTCCAGACACCCTCATAATAAGCCAATGTTATTGTTCTTTGACCCCCCCATGAAGTCAAGAAGCAAACTGTCTAGAGCATCCCAAAAAACTGTTGTCATGACCTTTGCTCTTGGGTCCACTTTTGCTTTGAGTGGACCACTTCCATCTCTTGGTAGCCATGGCTTTTATTGTGCTTTGTCTTCAGGATCATACTGTAAAGCCATGTCTCCTATTAACAGTTCTTTAAAGAAATGCTTCAAGATCTTGATCCCACTTGTTTAAAGTTTCCATTGAGAGCTCTGCTCTTGTCTGCAGCTGGTCTGGGCACAACAATTTTGGCACCCATCAAGCATAAAGTTTGCTCAATTTAAATTTTTTCATCAGAATTGTATAATCTGAACCGGTTATCTATGGCGTTGGCTGTTGTTTCTGCTGTTAATTGTTGGTCCTCTTCCATTGGGGCATGAACAAGATGAATTTTTTCCTCGCGAATTGATGCTTCATCTTCAATACCATCTCATCCCTTAAAATGCGCTGTCCATTTGTAAACTGTTGATTTCTTTGGGGCCTTGTCCCCATAAACTTTTTATAAAGCATGAATGATTTCACTGTTCTTCCACCTAGGCTTCACTAGAATTCTTAGAAATTATGGGGTTTCGATGAGACCAACCTGGGTTCATAATCCCAGCCTCGTATTCGCCAGCTGTGGTGACCCTAGATATATTCATCTCTCTGATTCTCAGTTTATTCACTGTGTAAAATGTATTATGTGTTTAGAAAACTCCTGGCTTTATTACTCTCAATAAATCTGTAGGTACCTTGCCAGTCGGCGCAGAAACAAATGTTTGGCTTTGGAAACTTAAAGATGTTTCTCTGGATAATGATCCATATAGGTAGATACGTACAGTTCACTAAGAGAACACTTGGGAACAGCTGAAACAATTGAGAATATAAAATCACAAATGGAGCCAGGAGGAAGGCCCTGGAAAGCTAGATGTGGATAAGTAAATAGTAAACTGAGGAGGATCTGGTAAGATTGCAGGTTGCTGTGATTTTAGCATTCCTGTGATCTTCTGAGAAGAGTCAAGTCCTTGTGACTAGTATTCTTGTTGTCTTCTGGGATTTCTTGAAAACAAGGTGCAAGTAGCAAACAAATTGGGACATGACTGGAGATGGCTTTCAGAGTGAACGGTAGATTGCTTTATTACTTAACTTTTGCTTGTTAACTTGAAAGAATGGACCTGTGAGGGTGGGACACAACCTTGGAAAATATGATTTCAATGCGGAATGATTTTAGTAACAATCAAATCGGAGACAGTCAATTCTGCAGGAAATGATGACCTTTGAGTGATGCACGGTGCCTGGAGATCCCAGGATCCTGGGAGGCCTCTTTTTATTGCTTTCTTACTGGCAAGGAGAAAGGTAGCAAATGCATGGTTCTAGCCTATACATTTGTTTTTCTCTCCTGATTTTTCTTTTTCTCTGTTTTTTTACCCTCTTCCCTGCACCCGCCTCTGCCCTCTCTCCTGATTTTTCAACCACAGACCTGGATTAAAGACATAAAATTGGGGTTAGTGGCAAGCCCCTTTATAATTAAAATGAAATTTAAAATTTAGAGAGTTTTCTGGAAAGAGATAGAAATACAATTGAGAAGAAAAGGAAACGAGTACCTGTAGATTTTTCTTAAGTTTAAGAAATAGGAAATAGATTTTGGGTGCTTTCTCTTAAATTTAAGAAATAGAAAATAGATACTGACTTTTTCAGCTTTTTTTTCAAATACATTTTTTTTTTCTTTAACTCAGGGGAGTTATGCATTTCTGAAAACGAAAGAAGGCTTGTTTCTCAAGAGGCTTGGAGCAAACTGCAGCAATACTTTCCAAAGGCTCCTGAGTTTCCAAGTTACAAAGAATGCTGTTCACAGTGCAAGGTACTGAGTGCTCTACTGACATCTGTGGAAATGGCATGCCGCCTCCCTGGATTGACTTCCCGGGGAATTAACAATGTGCTTTTAATGGGGGTGTAGAGAGGAGGCAAGTCATGTGCTGTCAGCAGGAGACAGTTGATTGCTTCATTCTCTTTCAGATTTTAGAAAGAGAAGGAGAAGAAAATGAGGCCTTACATAAGATGATTGCAAACGAGCAAAAGACTTCTCTTCCGAATTTGTTCCAGGACAAAAACAGACCATGTCTCAGTAACTGGCCAGAGGTACAATGATTCCCACAAAGGAAAGAATCATCTTTCCTTTTTAAGGCCATTGCCAAATTCTTGATAAACTGTTTCAGAACAACCCAGAACTTTTCTCATTCTCATTTGTTTAGTAATCTGATCAGGGGGATTTACTCCAGCTTGCTATTTCTTGGTAGAGGACTATATTTCCAATTTATTTATAAAACTTGGGGCCAGCCTGTGGCTCACTTGGGAGAGTGCGGTGCTGATAACTCTAAGGCCACGGGTTTGGATCCCTATATAGGGATGGCCAGTTAGCTCACTGGTGAGCATGGTGCTGACAACACCAAGTCAAGGGTTAAGATCCCCTTACCGGTCATCTTTTAAAAAAAAAAAATAATAATAAATAAATAAATAAATAAAACTTGAATAAGGAAAACCACATTTGTCATAAAGAATTTGTGTTAAGAATGCAACAAATTAATGGATACTTTTTCTGTGATTTTTATATTCTAGGATACAGATGTCCTCTATATTGTTTCACAGTTCTTTGTAGAAGAATGGCGGAAATTTGTTAGGTAGAAACCAAAAATTTTCTCTTTCCTTTTTTTGGGGGTTGACTCTAGTACCCTTCATGGTTACTTTCACTAACGTACACTGGAAACTTTCTTTTCTCTTAAATGAGTAATCCTAAAGAACATTTAATTACTAATACCCTTTTAAATATATCTCCAATTTAAAAATAATTATCTTAAAAATCTTTTTCAGCATGTAATAGTGAGGTATATTTATCTTCCTTGTCTTATTTGTATAGAAAGCCTACAAGATGTAGTCCTGTGTCATCGGTCGGAAATAGTGCTCTTCTGTGTCCCCATGGGGGACTCATGTTTACATTTGCTTCTATGACCAAAGAAGATTCTAAACTGTGAGTTTCTTCTCTTCATGTGATTTGTTTGTTTGTTTCTAATAATTAATAAAGTATGTTTAGGTAATTATTCATCTAACATAAATAATCTGTTTTAAGAATCTAGTTCTTTGCTAAATTGTTGGTGTTTTTCCTTTTATATGCTCTAGAGTAAGCTCTTGTCTTTAATTAAAAGGAAAAGCCTGCTTCTCCAGAAAAGGCAAGAGGCTGCCTGAGACTTTGTTCTTTATGCTCCTTCCTTGTCCCTCCTGGAGATGAAAAACACCCTCCTCCCCCTCTTCTCCTCCCAAGCTGCTGGTAACCAGTACCATGTCTCTAGGCTGATTCTTTTCCAGAATCATATAATCAACATGGTCTTGGTTGTAGGGTTTTTTCCTGCAGCTACCAGCCTTCAGGAAATAGAGGAGTATGGCAGTGTAGCACCAGAGCAAAGCCACTGACTGAGCTAGTCATCTGGAATTCTAGGGTCTTAAAACCAAAATTTTATTCCATTCCTCAAGTGCTTCCAAAGGAGCTCGTCTATAAATTTCACCCCTGATGTTGCTATTTTATCTTGTGAAATAATTTTAAAATAACTATATAAGAGAAGGCAGAATGCCTCCAAGGTTGCCAGTAAATCATGCAAGGAAAATTGAAACAGAAATAAAAACTAGTCTTGGGGCCGGCCCGGTGGCACACTGCTACAGTGCGCCGCCTGGGAGTGCGACATAACCAGTACCATGTCTCTAGGCTGATTCTTTTCCAGAATCATATAATCAACATGGTCTTGGTTGTAGGGTTTTTTCCTGCAGCTACCAGCCTTCAGGAAATAGAGGAGTATGGCAGTGTAGCACCAGAGCAAAGCCACTGACTGAGCTAGTCATCTGGAATTCTAGGGTCTTAAAACCAAAATTTTATTCCATTCCTCAAGTGCTTCCAAAGGAGCTCGTCTATAAATTTCACCCCTGATGTTGCTATTTTATCTTGTGAAATAATTTTAAAATAACTATATAAGAGAAGGCAGAATGCCTCCAAGGTTGCCAGTAAATCATGCAAGGAAAATTGAAACACAAATAAAAACTAGTCTTGGGGCCGGCCCGGTGGCGCACTGCTACAGTGCGCCGCCTGGGAGCGCGACAGCACTCCCACCAAGGGTTCGGATCCCACATACAGACCAGTTCCCGCTCACTGGCTGAGCGAGGTGCGGGCGTGACACCGAGGGTTGCGATCCCGTTGCCGGTCCCGGTCCGGTACGGGCGCGACACTGAGGGTTGCGATCCGTTGCCGGACACGAAAAAAGACAAAAATAAATAAATAAATAAATAAAAACTGGTCTAGAGTTAGGGAGTTTATTATTCATATTTCAATACTCTAAGATAAATTTAGGGGATCTGAGAATTAGTATATATTTTCTTCTAGATTCTCCCCCAGCCCTCCCTCCCTCCCTTCTTTTTTCCCTTTTTTTTCTCTTTTTTAGGAGGTGGGGGTGTGGATTGTTACTGTTTTAATGCTAGATATCCAAGAAAATATCTATAATAATAAAGCAAACAGATGTGTGCCACCAGTTAGCTTAAAAGTTCAGGTGATGTATTTAAAGTCCCCTCAGTATTTATCCTTCTTTTCATTACTGCTTTTCTCTCTCTCTCTCTCTCCCTTCCTCTTGATGTAACCACTGTCCTGAATTTGAGAGTTATCAGTGTCAGAAAGTATTCCTTTAAAAAAACAATACACACACATAGTAATGTCTTGGATATTTAAAACTTTTTATAGTAAACGGCATCAATACTGTATTTATCCTTCTGTAACTAACTTATTTTACTCACCTTATGTTTTTGAGGTTTAAGTGTGTTGATATATGTAACTACAGTCCATTTAGTTTCACTGCTGTTGTAACATTGAAAAAACTACTATAATATATGAAAAATACTACTCCTTGTTGACGAGAACATATCTTTTTCCTTTCGTTCCTTTGCATTAAACACTGTAGTAGTGATTGATGATTTTGGTTTAGGAGATGAATGGATTATGTTAGTTCTCTTTATTTCCATGTGTCTTAAGGCATGTTGTGTTTTTTTGCACAGTATAGCTCTCATATGGCCCAGTGAGTGGCAAATGATACAAAAGCTCTTTGTTGTGGATCATGTAATCAAAATCACAAGAATTGAAGTGGGCGATATAAACCCTTCAGAAACACAGTATATTTCTGAGCCTAGTAAGTTTTCATATTGATTTTGGTTTCTGTAGTTAAAAGTTGACATTTTAGGGGGGAAGGAAAGGGTACATCAGTGTTGTATTCTCTGCTTAAAATTAAAGATCACGTGGCAGTTCAAACTCTCTAGGCGGGAACTTCCATACAGTTGTCTTTTATTTGTATGTGTATTTGTGGACAGTAAATGAATATCCTTATTGTTACTATTTGCATTCAACAGAATAATAATTGATAGAAAATATTACTGATAGTTTAATTAGATCTCTGGTTCTTTGACAGTAATTCCTCAACCACTTCCGTTTTACTTTTTTTTTTTAAGAACTCTGTCCAGAATGCAGAGAAGGGTTATTGTGTCAACAGCAGAGGGACCTGCGTGAATACACTCAAGCCACCATCTATGTCCATAAAGTTGTGGATAATAAAAAGGTACTGGTCCCTCTTGTGGCCATGACTAGTAGTGACCAAGTTTGCTTTTTGACTTGATGTTTTATGTTCACTGAGCACTGCCTAGAACTGTATTTTTGTTTCCTGAAAGCTGTTTGGCATTAGAATTGACATTGGACAAGAATTGAAAATGGATAGTTCTGTGATTATATGTGCATTTATTGATGTGATACATAGATATTTACTGAATGCCAGCTGTGTGCCAGGAATCACACACTGGTGCTGAGGATGTAGTGATGGAGACAGATAAGGTACCTGCTCTGGAAATTATACGTACCTAGTGAGGAAGATCAGAAGTAAATCATAAATTCATAAGATGATTTTACACAAGAACAAGTGTTTTGAGGGACATTTAACAGAGTAAAGTGAGAGAGACTGATAGAAGTGGAGGTCGCAGTGTTAGATAGGGAGTAGACAGAAAAGGCATCTTGAGGAGGAGGAGTTTTACCTCCTGAGCACTCGCTGTCAGGGATCCAACCTGGGAAAAGTATTCTAGGCACAGGAAACAAAGGCCAAAGGGATAAGCCTAATGTGCTCAAGCACTGAGTAAAAACCATTGTGCTGACTGATAGAACTTTCTGCAGCGACGAACAGGTTCTATATCTGTGCTGTGCACCACAGGAGCCACCAGCCACATGTGGCTGTGGATCACTTGATTCATAGCTAGTGTGGCTAGTGTGACTGAACTAAAACTGAATTTTTTTTTTTTTTCCCCAAAATATAACCAGTAAGGGGATCTTAACCCTTGACTTGATGTTGTCAGCACCACACTCTCCCAAGTGAGCCACGGGCTGGCATCCTAAAACTGAATTTTTAATTTTTGTTCATTTAAATTTAAATAGCTACATGTGGCTTGTGGCTACCATAGTAGCCAGCCCTGGTCTAGAGTGAAGTTTACTCCAAGGATGGATAGCAATATGGGATGACGGACCAAATTCTGTTGTGTTTTATACAACTTACCAAGGACTTGGGATTTTGTTGTAAGTGTAGATCTAAGCCACTGGAGAGTTTTGAACAAGGTCATGGTATGATCTCATTTATGGTTTGAAAAAGTCAGCCTGGCCATTGTGTTTGGAATTGCTGAGGGCCTAACAGGAATAACAAAGGCAATTTGAGAGCATTTTGCATTGATCTGCAAGGGTAGGTGAAATTTTGTAAGCAGAGGTGTTAAAACTTGCTATGTTGTGGATTTCAGAGCATTTTTACTACATTAGAAATGGCTCTTGGGTAGATCCTGACCTGTTATGATTCCAGGATTTGGGGGATTAAAAACAAAGTAGAGGGCCAGCCTGTGGCTCACTTGGGAGAGTGTGATGCTAATAACACCGAGGCCACAGGTTCAGATCCCTGTATAGGGATGGCCTGTTAGCTCACTTGGGAGAGCGTGGTGCTGACAGCACCAAGTCAAGGGTTAAGATCCCCTTACCAGTCATCTTTTAAAAACAACAACAACAACCAAAACAAAACCCCAAAAAAAAAAAAAAGTAGAATACGTTTTCTTTGATGCTAAGTTACCAAAGACATTATTTAAAAAGGGTAACATACAGATTATGCTCTAGAGGTTTAGGGTTCTGCTTCACAAGTTGAACTAAGGCCTTCATTTCCTAATTTGCTGAGAAAATGAAGTTAATGAGTATAAATATTTTAGTTTTTCCCCTAAAAATTTTTTTAAATCTTTTGTACCTTTTAGTACATGCAGATCTTGGTATCTGGTATAGAATAATATCCAATTTAGTTGATTTCATTGTTTGAGTTTAATAACAGTATTTCATAGTGTTCTGCAAAAGAACACTTCCACCATCGTACATTTTCTCAATTCTTAAAGAGCATTGTGACTCCTGCCACCTCAACAGTTTGAGAACTTGAAAAGGCTTGATAATTGGTGTACTCGAGAAGGTGTCGAGCACCTTACAACTTCTGCAAAATAACATCATTGTGCAAGCCTGATAATAACTGTTCTGTGGAGACCTCTTACATTTATTATGGTGAACACATTAAATACAAGAATAAGTCATAGGATAAAAAACAGAGCACTTGATTCTTGATTTACTCTGGTCATTTATCCCACCATGATAAAGGTGTTCCTCCTCTTGGTAAAGCTTGCCAGTCAAAGCCCGCACTCCCTCCGTGGCACACCTTTCTGACCTACTTCTCTCTCTCGTCCTGGTGCATTCAGGTGATGAAAGATTCAGCTCCGGAGTTGAATGTGAGTAGCTCCGAAACGGAGGAGGACAAGGAAGAAGCTAAACCAGATGGAGAAAAAGATCCAGATTTTAATCAAGTACGTCTTGAGGCTGCTTTTCATTGTTATCTTTTCCGCCATTCTCAAAGAGCAACCACTCCCAACACTTGGACATCTCCCTCTACTCTGTGTGGGGGATATTGGTTCTCTGCTCCCTTCCTGTTTTCCTTTCTCTTTCTTTAGTTTTGGCAGCACACTACAGCTGTCTTGATTGCTCATGAAAAGCCATGGACCACATTATTCCAGAATTAACATATTTCTTGCTATTAAGTAAGAAAGGTTGACATATAATGTAATGATTAAATTTGTAGCTGGAAAAGAAGTCTAAAACCCAAGACCCATGTTTTGATTTGTTGTTTAATCATGGGATCTTCAAAGTATGAAAAGATATTTTAACTCAGATTCCCTCATTTTACAAACAAAATAAATAGCCTTAGTAATGAACTATATAGGAGAGATTTTTGTGTCTCTAATTAAGGTGTTGATCAAATGACCAGATGAGCTGTTGCATTAATCTTTCATTTTCCCTTATAATAAACTTAAAATTTTTCTATTAAACTTGAATATTTTTTGTATGTTCTGTTTTGATTTCCTACCCCTCTTATTTGGTTGCTTGATTATATTCTGCAGGTTTATAGTGATACTGGAGAAAATTTTCATTCTTTTTTTTTTTTTTTAAATAAAAAGATGACTGGTAAGAGGATCTTAACCCTTGACTTGGTGTTGTCAGCACCACGCTCAGCCAGTGAGCTAACCGGCCATCCCTATATAGGATCCTAACCCATGGCCTTGGTGTTATCAGCACTGCACTCTCCCGATTGAGCCATGGGCCGGCCCCTAGGAGAAAATTTTCTTAAGAACAGGAACTAATATGGGAATGTGTGTGGTTGATGTATTGTGTAGGTAACTTTCATCTTTGCAAAAAGATAGACCACTGTGTTCCAGGATATTATATAGATTCATTAAATTTGTGGAATTTCTTTCTACGTAAAGTTTCGTTTTTAATGGATGAGATATTTGTTTTCTTTCTTACTGCTAAAATAGTGTAGTTAAATTATGTTTAGCATTCTCCCTGAAAGAATAAAAGTGTTATAATGGCCATCTGCTGTATCTGTTACAGAGCAGAGATATCTGGGCATGTTGGCCTGTCTGTACACACTGATACTGTTACTTCATTTTCAACATTAAGAAAGTCTGAAAAGCCCTCTTGACTTGAATCTTGGTCTTCCCGAGGTAAATGTTACTTGTAGTTTCCCAACTGGTGTAAAGGGATGTCATTTGTTTTCCATGGCTTGTTGGATCTCATAAAAAAAACACCTGTGAAGGAACAAAACCATGCAATTTTATGCTCCCACCCCACTGACAGTGATCAGCCAGTCTTTGTTAAAGTTGTCCTGCCAAATTTGTATTTCAGTTGGTCACCATTGGAGGACCCTTTGCTTCAGTGCTAACCAATATCTATACATTTTATAGGAACGTAGATTTTCAGTTTGAGAGGATATTTTCCTACAATAAGTAATGCCCTTACTGAAATCTGTGTTCATGTATATATGTCTTCTGTTCCTTAGAATGGTTTTGAGTTTTTGGGTCAAATCATCTGTCTCTTGATAGGAATTTGCAGACATGACTTTGCTGCCCTCCAACCTTTTGTCAGCTCTTTGTTTTCTCGTCTCCATCTCCTCATACCATCCATCTTCCAAGCCATATATCTACAACTAGATTGTTTGCTCTTTTAGCTGATACATTAAAAAGTACACATATGTAGGGGCCGGCCCCGTGGCGCACTCGGGAGAGTGCGGCTCTGGGAGTGCAGTAGCACTCCTGCCGAGGATTCGGATCCTATATAGGGATGGCCAGTGCACTCACTGGCTGAGCGCGGTGCGGCCGGTCAC